GGGAGCACCATCAGGCGCAGCACGGTCAATCTTAACTCCCCCACGCTCAGCACCGCCAGTCTCAGCATCCCCAAGCTCAGCACCCCCAGTCTCAGCACCCCCAGACTCAGCACCCCCAGTCTCAGCACCCCAAGACGCAGTACCTCGCGCAGGACCAGAGTCAACAGCTACCCCGACAGGCTCGACCGGGTCTACCTGGGAAACACCTCAGGGAGCAGGACCGTGGGGAGGGAGAGGATCTACCGAAGCACCATCCGGCGTGAGGAATAGCGGTAGAGGGGGGAGCGGGGCAGTGCGGTAGGGGAAGAGACGGTAAAAGGGGACCAACTCGTCAAAGGTGACGTCCTGAGAGGGCAGGACACGGCGCGAGGTGGGGTGGTAAAACTGGCAGCCGGGCGCGTCAGGGACAAAGCCAAGGAAGACACAGGGAAAGGCACGAGATGAGAGCTTGTCCGCGGACGTATCGCGGACAAAGGCTCGACATCCTCAGACCCGGAACACCGACGCATCGCCAACCTTCCCCGTCCAACGCATTGTGGGCCACGTCTCCGGACCAGAGACACGGGGCCAGAGGTTGAGCTGATGCGCAGCGTACTGCACTGCAAACGGCCACAGGAAATGGGGGGCAGCCGCATGGATCATGGAGGTACGAGCGACCTCCATGACTAAGCCAATGCGGCGCTCAGCAATCCGAGTCCGCTCTGGAGAGGCCGGAAGTGTGAACGTCTGGCGAATGCCGTGCTCCGCACAGTAGGCTGCCAAGAGGTCGGAGGAAAACTTACCACCCCTGTCAGAGTGCAGACGTAGGACGGGAAAGTCCGAATGGAACCGCTCGCGGAGCTGGAGACAAGCAGCGCGGATCGAGGGGATCAAAACATCAGGGACCTCACCCTTGGTGCGCAAGAGGAAGACCGTGGTGTAGCGCGTGTAGTCGTCGACGACCAGCAGGAAGTACCGCTCGTGGCCCTGACCACAGACGCGGGCTGGGCCCCACACGTCCAGGTGGAGAGTGTGCAGAGGAGCCTCTGTGGGAGGGAACGAGGAGGAGTGAGAAGTGGCGCGTTGCTGCCCCTCAACAAAGGGAAGACAGGGAGGAGCAGGCGAGGGTGGGAGGGGAGGGAGAACCCTGGGAAGACCAGAGACAAGGTACCGGGAGTGCATGCTACGAAGGCGCTACACTGAGGGGTGACCAAGGCAATGGTGCCAGAGGACGGTCTGGTGCGACACGAGCAGGGGGCGGACACCTGACCTGACGGAGACGTAGACGCCGCTACCTGAGGGGACTCAGTGGTCAGTGTGTACAAGTCCGACCCCGGCTGCCGAGTGAAGGTAGCAAGGTGATGACCCATCTGGGCACACGTGCAGTGTGTCACACGCGCGTAGGTAGGGGTGAACAGGTGAACACCTGCGTCCTAGAGCGCAGAACCTGCCACCAAGTTCGTAGAGAACGAGGGGAGGTAAAGGCTCGATAGTGTGCCAGACGGGACAGCAGGACAAGGGGGGGTAGTGGTGGACGTTGCAAGGACCGGACCCCCGGAGGGGTCAGCCAGGGAGACAGCAACCGGTCTAGGGAGCTGCTCTAGGGCAGTGCGGTCGCGAAAGAAAGAGCGGGAAGCACTTGAGTCCAGTGTGAAGGCGTGCAGTGCCTCAGTAGATGTAGTGCCTGAAGGTGCAGGTTCACAAGCACGTGAAGCAGTAGACTAACGAGCGCCTATAGCAGCAGCCTCACCAGGGTTTTAGAGGACCTTGAGTGTCTTGCAGCCGCTGCGCCTCATCTCGTGTCCATGCTGATTGCCCCTGAGGGAGACCCAGATGCACCAGACATCCCGACCTCGCGCTCTTACGCTGAGGCGGTCGCGGGTGAGTACTCCTCTCAGTGGCAGTCAGCCATGGACGCAAAGATGGCATCCTCGAAGTCCACAGGCACTTACGTCGACGAGGTTCCCCCTCCTGGGCGAACATCGTCAGTGGCATGTGGATTTTCAGGGTGAAGCGGCCGCCGGGTTCTCCGCCTGTCTTCAAGGCACGTTATGTTGCTCGAGGCTTCAATTAGCGAGAGGGAGTAGACTTCTTTGAGACCTTCTCCCCCACCCCAAAGATGACCACTCTTTGGGTGCTACTGCATATTGCTGCTCAGCGTGACTACGAGCTTCACTCTCTTGACTTCAGCACAGCTTTCTTGCAGGGCAGCCTGCACGAGGAGATCTGGCTGCGCCGCCCTCCTGGCTTCACTGGGTCCTTTCCTCCTAGTACCCAGTGGACCCTCCAGCGGCCGGTCTACCATCTCCGCCAAGCGCCACGTGAGTGGCACGACACACTGAGGACTACTCTTGCGGCATTTGGGGGTTCACGCCTTCTACTGCTGACCCTTCACTGTTTCTGCGCACCGACACTTCGCTACCGCCGTTCTAAATCCTCGTGTACGTCGACGACTTGGTCTTTGCCACTGCTGACACTGAGGCTCTCGCCCACGTGAAGTCGGAGCTGAAGAAGAGACACACGTGCACAGACCTGGGTGAACTACGCAGCTACCTTGGCTTGCAGATCACCGTGGACAGAGCACGCTGCACCATCACACTGACTCAGTCACATATGGTGCAGCAAGTCCTTCAGCGCTTCGGCTTCACCTGGTCCTCAGCACAGGCCACTCCTCTGGCTATAGGTCACTCGCTCTCAGCTCTGCCTTCGGATGAGTCCGTAGAGCCGAGTCGTCCTTACCCATAGCTAGCTGGTTACCTCATGTACCTGATGACTTGCACTCGTCCTGACCTAGTATACCCTCTTGGCCTTCTGGCCCGCTATCTGGCTCCTCGCAGGCACCAAAAGGTGCACTGGGATGCTGCAAAGAGGGTATTGCGCTACTTGTGCAGTACAAAGCACATCGCTCTATGTTACTTTCTGGCTCGAGAGTTGCAGCAGCGTGGTCAGCTTCGTCTGCGTTACGTGGCCACTCAGGCCAACACTGCTGATATATTCACCAAGGTACTTCAGTCTGGTGATCATCAGCGCTTCTTTACTTTGTTAGGGCTTGTGCCCAATTTTCCTCACTTGCTGTAGACCTTGCCTGTACTGTGATCTATATACTTATACCTGCATGCTTGTACCGCTAGGCAGAGATCACTTTGATGTTTGTGACGCATATATGCCTCTGCATGTGAACTGGCCTTGTGGCTCTTTGCTTGTGCTGAGTGTGTGTGGTGACTTTGTGATCCACCCTGAGCTTGCGTTCTCTTTCTTGACTGGTCTTGTGACCCCTTGCTCTACCCCACTTAGCCTATGGGGGTGTGTCAAACATTATATATGTTACTGTTGTGTAGGCTATAGTGGGTTAGCCTCTAAGGGGTATATCATTCTAGGGTTTGCTATTTGTATCACCAATGATCATAGTTCAATCACTTGTTCTTTCGGACACGCTTGGCCGATGTGGGCGAAGAAGCAGACGACGTGCAGCACTAGGTGCCATGCTCTCTTGCATGGCTGGTGCGGTGGATGACGTGCTGTGTGTTGGGAGCACGTTGACGAGCTATTATCCGAGGAGTACTGCCATGTGGGCTGGGGGCCCAAGCGTGAACGCGGCAGGGGAGTGTCAACGGGAGTTGAGTGTTGGCCCCGTCCTCGCTTGGGCGGAGCCGGCTTCATGGTCGGGTGTGAGGGGAGCAGCCGACCTACAGCAGTGGGCGAGCTGGTTGACGAGGAGGTCGACCTGCAAGGGGACCACTGCACGGGCGCCGACTTTAGGGTGGCGCCGACTTCAGGGAGGTCGACCTGGGAAGTCGACCCGCGACGGGCGTCAACTTGGTGACGCCAACTTGGGGCAGCCGACTTGGGTGGTCGGTTGACAGGTTTGCTGGTCGACCTGGTGATAGGTCGACCAGGCCTGCTGGTCGAGTTGGTGGTGGTCGACCAGGCACGATGTCAACCTGGTGGTCGACCAGACCTGGTGGTCGACGGAAGAGGGGCCGATGTCGACCTCGACTCAGGACGCCGAGCAGCTGGGCGTCAAGTAGCAGGGCATCAACTTGGTGGCGCCAACTTCGGGTAGCCGACTTGGGTGGTCGGCGGACAACTGCGCTGGTCGACATGGAGCTGGTCAACCAGGAGGGACGTTGACCTGGATCTGGTTGACCAGGAACGTGGTCGACGTGGGGTGGTCCTCGACTTGGGAGGTCGATGGGCACATACAGGAGCAGATGGTCGACGTGGTTGCTCGGTCGACCAGGCTACCTGGGTGACGAGGTTCTGCGGGAGAGTCGACAGTCACCCAGGTGAAGTTGGCGAGTCCGTCCTCGGTGGTGGTATCCCAAGGTCAATGTGGCTGATCAGATGAAATCGTCAGCGCCAGGTTGACTTGGTGTGTGTGCTGTGCAGGTGACAATGCTCAGCACGCCAATCATCTGTGAGCACCTGCGAAGCTAGTGCATTGCTGTACCGCGGGAGCAGCGCTGGCACGTTGTCAACCTGCAACGTTGGCACGCCATCGACTTTGCACTGCTGGAGCGCGGTCGACCAAGTCGTGCTCGAACGCGGTCGACCATGCTGTGCTGGGTGTCCTGAATGCTAGCTCTGATGTAGTCTTGCCATGCCAACTTCATTGTACCAGTGTTGTCAACTTTCTCTAGTGAAATTCTTGCCAAATTATCCCGTGAACTAGCAAGTAGTGTGTGCACTAGGAAAACGACTAAGCACCAACGAACGCAGAGATCACACGAGCACCCGTGCCTAGCCCGTAGTCTAGCTCCCGTTGTAGTAGTTATCTCCACATAGGCTGTACACCCAACGGTCCAGCATGCCTTGGGGAGGGAAGGGTTGGGCAAGCGCAGGGAGAACCCGGGTGAGCGAGAGGGACAAAACGACATGGTACTTTCCAGAGTAGCATGGGAGGGCAGGGACGAGGGCGGCTGGTGAGGTGCAGCAGGGTGTACCCCTAGCGATCCAACATGCCTGGTGGGGGGGAAGGGAAAGATAAAAAGAGAATAAGAGGGGTGGTAGGATAGGAGAGTCTAGAGTCGATTCAAAACTGGGCCTGCGAGTGCAAATGTGCCCCTGCCATGCACCCACTTGTGCGCCCCACCCACCTCTGCGCCCCACCCACGTGTATGCCTCACCCACCTGTGCGCCCCACCCATCTGTGCGCCCCACCCACCTATGCGCCCAACCCACATGTGCGCCCCACCCACCTGTGCGCCCCACCCACCTGTGCGCCCCACCCATCTGTGCGCCCCACCCACCTGTGCGCCCCACTCACGTGTGCGCCCCACCCACCTGTGCGCCCCACCCACCTGTGCACCCCACCCACCTATGAGGGCGAAGGTGCCCCTTAGCACGGCACAGAGTCGAGTGAGGAAGTGGAAGAAGCTTTGGTGCGACTCGGTGATGCTCACTGCTATGGGCGAGCGGTAGTACAGGAAGTAGACTGCCGCAGGGGGGGAGGGGGGAAAGAGGGAGACAGAGGAGGTGCAGAGAGTGTTAGAATGGGGCACGTGAGGGAAGGGGCAAGGAAGATTCGGTGGTGTGACTGGGTGATGCTCACTGCTATGTGTGAGAGGTCGTACAAGAAATAGATGGCTGTAGGGGGAGGGATGGGGGAAGGAGGAGGAAAGGGGGGGTGGGGGTGGCGTGGGAACGTGAGTAGAAGGGAGGGTGCAGTGTAGAGCAGGTGTAAATTTTCGAGGCATATGATGCTCACTCTTGTGGTTTGCCCAGGAAGAGTGAAAGACCGAAGTAAAACAAACTTTTGGGGTTTTCAGGGCGCATACCTGGCAGGGCGATAGATTGTGGTGAGGAGGGAGTGAAGTATTCACTGATGGAGTACTGGTTCGTCTTCACAGTTCCCCCGTGCCAGAAGCGGAAGCGCGTCAGCACCACCTCAGGGGAGGCACACATGGGGATTGTAGAGCGAAAAGGGCATGCACGTCATCATGCTGCACCGCTCCTAACCCACTTGAATTCACTGATGGAGTACTGGTTCGTCTTCACAGTCCCTCCGTGCCAGAAGCAGAAGCGAGTCGGCACCACATGAAGCAAGACGAGACATGAGATATACAAAAGGTGCAAAGCATTCAAAGGTACTCCCCTGCCCCCCTCCTAATCCCCAGGAACTAGGTCATTCTTAGGTTAAAATTTAGAGTTGTCTTCAACTGAACCGAGTACTGGTTGGTCTCTATGGATCCTCCGTGGTAGGAGTGGAAGTGAGGGGGGTACCATGCGGTGGAGTGTGGTGGAGATTTCTCACCTAAACGAAGTACTTGAAAGAGCCACTGCCGAGCGGCAGTGTCCTCCCCCTCCTTGAGGGGCGGCCGGATGGAAGAGAGTGGTGTGCATGTAGTGGAGTGGAGTGCAGTGGAGTGCAGTCCAGTGCGGTGGAGTGCATTGGAGTGCGGTCCAGTGCGGTGGAGTGCGATAATCGCTCACTCACCTTGAGGAAGTACTTGAACATATCACTGGATCTGGCAGGGTCCTCCCCTTCTTTGAGGGGCGGCGGCATGCAGACGAGACCGTCCAGAGGGTTGAGCCGCCCGGGATAGGGCACTAAGAAACCGAGTGAGTAGATGATGTGCGACATGTTCACATCGCCCACTGATGAGAAGACCTGGAGACGGAATGAGAGGAAGGAAGTGGGGGGTTGAAGGGAAGGAAGGTGATTGTGAGGGATGACGGGAAAAGTAAGGAAGAGGAAGACACTCCAAAACCTAGGGAGTGAATGATGTGAGACACCTTAACATCACCTAATGATGAGAAGACCTGAGAGAGGATGGGGGGAAGAGGGAAAGTAAGTCTTGTTGAGTTTTACCAAGGAAGGCAGGATGAAACGAAGGAGGGCATGAGATGCAGATAAGGTAAGAAGGCAGTTCGAGGCAGAAGGAGTGGATGGCGTGGGTCCAGTTCACATTGCGTACTGTGGAGAAGAGTTGGGAAGGGGTAGCGGCTGCTCCCATCATCTGATAGGAATGCGGGAGGCCTTCGTTGACATGCAGCTGAGAGGAGACATTCGGCACTTTCGCGGCTTCAACGGGGCACTTCAGAGCGTCCAGGGCAGAGGCACCGTTGCGTTGCAAGTAGAGGCTGGGAAGCAGGTCCTCGTCCCCGACGTGCTCTACGTTCCAAGTGTGCAGGCAAAACTGCTGTCTGCCGGCCAGCTCCAGGAGAACGGCGTGAAGTCGCAGAATGATGGCGAGGAAATGTTGCTGGTGTCTTCTGCTGGCAATGTCCTTGGTCGAGCATGCTACTCCGCAGACGACCGCCGCCGCCGGTATGGACATTAAAAAGTCGACCACAGACGACATGTCGTGTGCCTCTTGCGTCGGCGGCAAGCTTGCGCAGCACACCTTCCCCGACCAAGGATCGGACGCCGAGAATGTGCTCAATGTGGTGCACATTGACCTCTGCGGGCCGTTTCGAATGGCCGCCAACGATGGCAGCCTCTACTTTCTTCTGCTGAAGGACACGAAGACTCGCTACGTGTAAGTGAGGCCAATCGCGAAGAAGAGCGGCATGCTGGTCATCTTTGACAAGTGGTTGAAGGTGGTGGAGCGGTAGACTTTGAAGATGGTGAAGATGCTGTGTTCTAACCGCGGAGGGGAGTTTCTTGGTCGAGCCTTCACCGACCTCCTCGATGACAAAGGCATCCTCCACAACCTGACATGCCCCTACACTCCGTAGCAGAACGGAATGGCGGAGCGCGAGATGCGCACGGTCGTCAAAGCCGTGTGGACGATTCTTCTACACATGGGCGTGAAGCACCACTGGTGGCACCTCGCACTATGACAGGCTGTCTGGGTGTGCAACTGCCTCAAACGGGCTTCTCTACCTCCGGGGATGACGCTGCACGAGTTGCTGTTCGAGAAGAAGCTGGATTTGATGCGGGCGCATGTATGGGGCTACATTGTGCAGTTCATGGTCTCACAGCAGCACCGTGGCGGGAAGCTGGCGCCGAAGGCTCGTTGAGGTCTTCACCTCGGAGTGTCGCTAGAGAGCAAGGGCTGGGAGGTGCTCGACCTGACAAACAACAAAGTCATCACGGCGGTCGAAGCGATCTTCTACGACACCCTGCAGATGGAGCTGTGGAAGGCAGAGTACTGGCCGGCGTCGTCAAGGACGCCATCTGCCCCACCACCAGGTTCCTCCTTGGAGATGCCTCCCCTGGTCGCCGACGTCGAACTGTCGAGGACGTAGAGAAAGTCTAACTCCCTCCTCCTATTTTGCCCCCGTCGGCGATTTCGTCGCCCTCCCCTTCACGGCCCGTAGTCGACCTTGCAGCGAAAGGATCCTTGTCGGCCGTCGGCGACGAGGGGAGACTTGGTGCGTCACCTACAACACCGTTCGGTTACATCGCCGGTGGCCGACGTGACGTCGAGAAGGTCATAGATGGGTAGCGTGGACGATAGGGGAGCAGATGACAGGGAAGCTGTCAGCGTCGAAGCCAACTTTCGAAAAGCCATCGGCAAAGGCGCCAGCTTCAGGTGAGCTTTTGGCAGAGAAGCTGATCCTGGTGGAGCAATCAGTAGAGGAGCTACCGAAAGGGGAGCAGTTTGACGATAACTTGTAGAGCGATGTTGTAGAAGTCGTCGGTGCGGCCGGCGGTGATGAAAGGGAGCTGTCGACAGGGGAGCAGTCTGACGACAGCGACGTGGTGGAGGTTCCAATCGAAGAGGAAAAACTGCGACTGTCTACCCGCTCCAACATCGGCAAGCCGCTTGAGAAGCTGAGCTACCACGCTTGTCTGCCGCCAACTGCCTATAGTACTCTGCTTGATGACGTAGATCTCGACGTCGATCTGCCCGAGCTCGACCTCGACATGCATGCCAATCCAGAGCACCGCTGGGACATCGCCAACATGACGGTGAGCTAGAAGGGCAAGGCGGGCAAGGCCACCATGCATAAAGAGATCGGGAGCCTTATCTCCAATGGCATGTGGGAGCTAGTTGAGCTTCTGCGCAGTGTCAACATCATGAAGAACCGCCGGGTGCTAATGACGAAGTACCACGTCGACGACACGGTCGCCCGCAAGAAGGCCTGCCTGGTCGTGAAAGGCTTTACGCAGGTCTACGGTGCAGACTACAATGAGACGTACATGCTGGTGGGGAGCTACGTGACTCTGTGGATCTTCCTCAACATTGTAGTAGTCCTCGACCTGCATCTGATGCAGCTCGACATGAAAAACACGTTTCTGCAGAGCAAGCTGGATCGCGTGCTCTACATGTACCAGCCTGACTACTACAACGATGGCACCCGTTGCGTCTGCAAGCTACTGAAGAGCCTCTACATGCTGAAGCAGTCGCCGCTGCTGTGGTACAAGGCGCTCGACGACGTGCTGGCTGGTGCGGACTAGAAGAAGAGCCAGGTCGACAAGGTTCTCTACTTCAAGGTCGTCGACGACGGAGTGGCATGCTAGGTGCTCATCTACATCGACGATCGCCGCGAGCAGCAGCACTGCGATGCTAAAAGAGCTATTGAAGGCCGCTTTTGAGTTACGCTGGATCAGCTCTGTCAAGAAGTATCTCGAGCTGGAAATAGTGCGCGACCGTCCTGTGCAAAAGTCGTGGCTTCACCAGCAAGTCTACGTCAATAAGCTGCGTCAGTGTTTCATCAACGAGGAGTAGATCGGGCGAGTGCAGAAGACGCCGGTCTTTGTCAACGCCTACGCAGAGCTGATGCTCGACAACTAGGAGTTCCAGTCGTGCGAGGAAGCAGAGTACCGGTAGAAGGTCAGCTCGCTGCAGTTCGTGGCTACAACCACGAAGACAGTCATTACCTTTGCGTGCAGCAAGCTGCGGAGAACCACTGACAGTGCAGAGTGAGAACCACTGGCGCGAGGTCGACCGCTGTCTGCACTACCTCGCCGACACTTGTGACGCCGCTCTGGAGTTCAGCGGCGGACCAGAGTCGCTGTGTCTGGTGGACTATGCAGATGCCGATGACGCTTGTGACAAGCAAAATCGGATGAGCACGGGGGGCTATATGTTCTATTGGGAGGGGCCGCAGTCTTCTAGTCGAGCCAGCGCATCAAGTGCGCGATGCTCTCGTCGACCAACTCGGAGTACGTCGTGACTACAGAAACCGGCAAGGAGGCTCGTCGACACTGCTTCCTCCTTGTAGAGTTCAAGCTGCTCGACGTTGGGAAGCCAACCATGCTGCACGTGGACAACCAGTCGGCAATCATGGCGACAGAGGGCTTGGGGCTCAAGTGAAACCTCAAGCATATGGAGCCTACACCTAGCATATGGTGAAGCGCGGGAAGATTGCTTGGCAGTACATCCCGACCTCCGAGCAGCCGGCAGACTTTCTGACAAAGGTGCTGCATTTTCCAGCTTCCAACTAGTGCTACGTCGCAATCGGCCAACTGTGTCTGCCTGACATTGGTGACGGGGATGACGAGGTGCAGCAGTAGGTGCCGTGCCCTTCTGCACGGCTAGTGCAGTGATCTGCGTGCTATGTGTTGAGTGCATGTAGTCGGAATTTTCTCCTTGTATTCTATCCCTCTGGGTTCTGGGTGGACCTTGCGTGTGGGTGCCCAAGCGTGAGCTGAACAGAGGAGTGTCAAAGAGAAAGGCCCCGCCCTCACTTGGGCGCAGCTGATCTTGCCTGCGACCAGAAGTCCTCGACGGATTGGTCGTCGAAGTGGGCTCTGCTCGACGAAATCTGGTTGACATCGTCGACGGGCACTGTTGGTCAAAGACAGCTGTCGAGGAGGCTCCTCGAGGAGCGGTGGTCAACGAGGTCCGTCAAGGATTGCTGGTCGACGATTTTGGTCGAAGAGCTCTATCAAGGAGTTCTGGTCGACGAGCTTTGCTCGGCAAACGCTGTTCGACCAAGCGATGTCGAGTTGATCGACAGAACTCACTGAGGTGCGCAAAACTCTGTGGAGGCATGCGATATGACTTGCGGAAGTTCGACTTGCGGAACGGCAGCACGTGCTCGATGGTTGGCACTTGAGGAAACCGACGACACGTTTTCTACCTGGCACCTGCGCAATGTGCCTGGCAGTGAAATCGTCAACCTGCATCTACTTGGTAGGTGCGCACATCTGCGCAGATAGTCATCTGCACCTGCAGATAGTCACCTATGACTACAGTGTTGGGAGATCGCGTGCAGTACAACGCTTGCAGATTGCTCTGCTGTAGCGTTGACAAGCCGCTCTTCTGCTGCGCTGGCAGAGTTGGCTCTGCAGAATGCTTGCTAGGGGTTGCATGTCATTCTAGTCATATCGTTTTGGATGCCATTATACTCTAATCTTTTCAATGTTCAATATTCTTTTCACTTTCTTAGTGGAACTCTTGCTGAACTTCTCTATGAACACAAGAAAGTAGTAAGAACGCTACTAGAGCGTTGCGATCACCCACACAACCCCATGCCCTCCTCCGTAAGTCCACTCCCATTGTTTAGTGACTCTCTGCAAATACTGTTCACGCAGAAGAAGGACGGAGGCATGCGCATGTATATCGACTATCGAGCGCTAAATCGGATCGCCATTAAGTCGCGTTTCCCGATTCTGAGAGCGACGACCTACTAGATCAGCTTCCCGAGGCTTGCTATTTCTCAAAAATCGATTTGCGAGGTGGCTAC